CATTGGGATTATTTCCAATTGGTTGACAGTCACATTCATAAGATTGGGTTTTAAGCACAAAAAGTGTTAAAAACAAATAAATAAACATTATCAATTGTATATTCGAGATTAGAACGATATTGTAAATATTTGTTTAAATCGATAAACACGTTTTTGTATTAAATTATTTATAATTAAAAAATTATTGCTTTATATTATGTAATAATATTAATTATATAATAATTGTAATGTCAAATGAGTTGTGATTATTTTTACACTTAATTTTTATACGAACAAAAATTATTTTTTTTGTTTTTTAACTTGATTTATTCTTTTTAGTAATTTTAAGACTCTATCTCATGGTGTTTTTTATTGTAATTTGAAAATATTGCTATTCTTCAATATTATAAATTTTAAATATTTCTGAAAACAATTATATATTAAACAACGAAAGAAACACATGAAAATTTTATTTGGCTTAAAACATATAGTTTATTTTAAATATTGTTGTAGTATTTTTGGACATTAATAACTTGAATATTTCGGGAAATTTTTATCATATTTCAAAAACATTGTTTTATAAACAATTTTTAACACATTTGGTTTTATAGTATACTTTTTGTAATGCAACTTTGAAGCCTTTTTAGTTTATTATATACTTTGTGCATATATGTTGGGTTAATGGATTTGTTTTGTTTGTCTTATCATGTTTGTACATTTGAGACATTCAATGAAAGATGACATTTTAATGTAACCTTTTTATTTAATGGTAATTTGAAAGCTTTTGAACTCATAAAATATAAACTGCGTGTTTCCATGAAACCCAAATTATTTACAAATATTCAAATAAAATTACATAAAATATCAAACAATTTCATAATCATTTTATAGTTATTAATGTATACCATTTTATATATTTCTTTTGTTAATTTTAATTATCATAATTATCAACAATGATATTATTTAAACTGTAATTAAAAAACTTTTTTTTATCATTACAATATGTTTATGAAAAATATAAAAACTATATTTACGTTTAAATGTTAAAATTAAATAAAAATATATCGAATTAAATTAAATGATGCTTGTACACCAAATAAACTTGATAATGGAAATTGTAATGAACTAGAACAACATATTTCGCACAATGATATACATCCTTTAAAACATGATAATCCAATTTTTGTGACACTTTGTGGGATGTTAACCTTCTTAAGACTTTCACAATTTTGAAAAGCCGAGTCGCCTATTTTGACAACACCTTTCTTTATAATAACATCTTTTAATTTAATACAGTTTTTAAACATAAAGTTTCGAATTTTTGTAAGTGTAGTTGGAAGTGTGATTGAAGTGAGTGAAGACAAATTGGCGAATACAAGATGTTTATCAAATCTCACACTTTCGTTCAAACAAATATTTTTAATGTTACTGCATCCCACAAAACACTGTTTTCCAATCAAACACATCGTGTTCTTTATGTTAACACACTTAAGTGATGTCAATCCTTTCAAATACAAAATTAAATGTTCGTCTACATATTCTGGCACTTCCAATTTTGTTATATTGCAGAACTTCAGTGTCCACCAATCGTCACTTTTTACACACTTTGAAGGTACAAATTTTGGGTATTTTTCTAGAATTTTGCACTCCCACAAGGCATATTCGTCAACTTCAACTACTTTTAATGGAGATGTTATTTCTTTTAAATAAATATCACCGGCAAAGCACTTATAAGGGAGTTTTGTAATACTTTCATTCAGGTGAACGGCCTCTAGTGTTGTGATATTTTGGAACGCGCCATACCCTATTTTAGTCAGTCCATATGGTAGATATAAATCATTCAAAAAACACGTGCAATTTTTGAAGCAAAAGTCACCAATTTCCTTGACTCTTCCCAAAGAACCAAAATCAAAACAACATTGCTCTCCTTGGAACGCATTATTTTCAAGAACAAAAACTGTTTCTTCTTCCATTTTTTGCTTTTTATTAAAATCAATAGTATTATTACTATCTCGACACTCCTCGTATGCTTTATTCCACGTTTTAGTATTTACAAATGTTCTTCTTTCGAATGGATAAACCCCAATGCGAATTTCCTTGTACTTAAAAGCACCAAGATGAACATTTCTATAATAACTCTCATCTGGATACTCCTTCAATTCATCAAACTGAACGGTGTAATCAACAACAACATTTTTTGGTATATTATAATGTGTTAGGTCTTCGGGATAATCTTCAACCAATGCCAAACAAAGTGACTTGAGATAGATCGTTTCTTTTCCATAGTAATAATTGCTGTTATTTGTATTGAAAATGGAAAGTCCAGTTAAAGTGTTTGGCAGTTCAAAAATGCAATTTCTACAATCTTTTAATTGAAGGTTTTTTAATCTAAATTTATCTAAAAAGACCAACTTTTTGTTTAAAATGTGTTCTCCATTAATATTCTCAATTTTCAGTGAAGTCAAATTGGTGGAACAATTAAACAAAGTCTGTAAATTGCGTCTTGGAATGTACTCATGGTCTTTTTGCGAACAATAAGCAACTTCTGATAACTTTTTTATATTTAATGTTTGTGGTACAAGTACTGGGGTTTGAGAGACTTCAAAAAGACGAGAAGCTTCAATTGGATTTTTTGTGAAGTTTAAAATTTCTATTTGCTCTGAAATTTTTTCGAATAATTTGATGTTTTTATTAACTTCGATAATTTGATCTTCAGAATCACTTTCGTCATCTCCACTGTCACTCTCTGAATTAACAAAGAAATTAATATCAGTGACTACGTCTAAAAATGTCAATTCGTAATATTGTTGCAATGAAATTGTCACATTTTGTGAAGAGTACAATAAAATTTTATCGTCTTTGTTGCATTTTACTACACATGTCACTGGTGATATTTTCAATGTTATTTTTGACTTGATTTTGTTAATTATAACAAGTTTTTTACACTCTATTTTTGACATGTCGATATTTTTATATACATTCACGGTTAATGTTATTTGATCAAGTACTAACGCGTAAAGCTGAGTAAACGAGACAATTTGTGATATCATTTTGTCATCCATTTCAATTGTTTTTGGCATATTAATAACAGACACGGGTACTTTTGAAAGCATTTCATTACTCACAAATTCCGTTACATTTTCAATAGTTCGAAATATGACATTTCCAATTTTCATAAGTTGTGTAAAGTTATTTAAAGTGTTTGTCATATCAACTTTTTCTCTGTTGAGTATACACCCTGTGCTTTGTATATAAATACAAATATCGAGTGTTGGCGCATCTTCTATAAATTTTAGTAACATTTCAATAGAATTTAAATCTTTCAAAAAAATTCGAAATTTTTTTAAATTTTTAAGCCGCCACAACACACTTTTGTTGTCCACTAGTATTTTCCACAACATGTTTTCATCACCTACCTTTGTGTTGTCAAAGCACAATGTAATTTTATTACACGACTCAAATAAATAAACGTTCTGAATGAAGAATTCTGCTGTTTTTAATGAATAAATAGTTACTGTTTTGAGGTGGTTAAGAATATCAACGGGAAGATTAAGAAAATAAGATTTTTCTTTAAAGTTATCAAGTGTAATAAAACACTCTTCTTTGTAACATGTGTAGTATTCATAACCTTCACTTATGGGAATTGGTTTTGCATCATTAAAATCACTCACTTCGAATAACGAAAAGTTAAAGTTTGTGAGTTGTGGAATAAGACACGAGTACGAAGGAAGACACAGTGTTTTTGCATGTGGGAAGAATTTAGAAAGTCGTGAAAAATAACAAAGAAAATTCCGAGTTGGATTTTTTGCTGTGTCATATGGAAACTTGTCAATTATGAATGAATTCCTTTGCATTCGTCTCATCACTGATTGACACTTCTTATTCACACATACAAAATTTGTGAATGAATCAAATGTATTAATATATAACACAACATTCATCAAATAGAATTCCTCCAATATCATTATTTTTTTTGTTTTTTATAGATATTTGTATTTAAATCATTATTTTGAATCTTGACTTAACAATAACAACAATTTAAACAATTAAAATATTCATTTTATTTTTTTTAATTATTTATCAGACGATGAGAGTCAGTCTTTTAATGTTATCTGGTCTCAAAAGTTATATGATGAACAAAAAATAGCTTTAATTATGTTTAAATCGGGCATTAGGTAAAACATGAAAAAAACCGAAACAATTTGGATGGGTATTTAGGACGGCTTCCCGAAGTATTTCAATCTTTACGGTCCAAATTGTACCAGATAACGTTTAAAGACTGACTATAGTGTATAATATATTATATATAACTATAGTATAAATAATATATTTAGTTTTCCATAAAATATATATAAAAAACCCCAAAAACACATAAAATTGATTAATACGTGAATGATCAAATAACGATTTTAACAGAGAAGAAACTGAGTGCTTCATTGAACTCTCCGAGACTTCTACTGATTTGTTGTTGTATATAATTATTGCACGCAGCCAGTTTAAGCATAATAGCGCAGTCCATCATTAAAATTTCAAATTGGTGACAATTTGAGACTCTTCCGAGGCATTTCCTCACAATCGTGTCTGCGCAGTTTCTTGAGAAGTTAAGTCTTTTCAACTGTAAAATTTGGTCATTAGTCACAACTCTTGTAGTTAAGACTTCATTCATCATTTTTAATACGGCGGAGTCGATTACTTTAGTTGGGAATTTATCTAAGACTTTTCTCACAAGACACTCCCCAGCTCTCGTCCCAACTGTTTTAATAATAAATTGCTCTGAAAAATTGAAGACGTTCTCTTCAATTGCTTTCAAGAAGATTTCAAACGCGGCGTTGCCGTCATTTCGTGTGTATTTAGTGGACCCTCCCATAATCCAATTTAAAGCCAAATCCATCGCATTCACCAACTTCACTTGTTTCTCGTCTAAAAGATTTTTTAATATGACCAGCGCGCCGCTCGTGCCTTCAACAACTTCGTTCACAACAGCTTCTTTGAAAACGGTATTTTGCGCCATTTTCAGACTTTTTTGAAGAAGGGGCGATGCCGATATAATAAAGTACTTCAAATTCGATGAAATCTCTGTTAAGATGTCCTGCGCCAAGGCCGCTGTTAACACGGAATCAAGGGAAATAAAAATTTTCGCGATTTGAGAACTACTCGACGACAAGACCGAGCGCGCAAATACTAAAATGTTTCCAACATATTGAAAGTGAACGATTTCAGAGACTAAAAAGTCCGTGAAAGTCGGGTTGAACGCTCTGGAACAGAGATAATAGTAGTCGTTTCTTTTCTTCATATACTTCAATAAATCTTTGTCAATCAAATTTAAATCTGTGATATTCGAAATACTTGCGAGACTGTTTGGAACACTTTGAGTTTTTTGGATTTCTTGAAGACGCGTGTGGTCGTCTGTTTTTTCACATTTTTTTGTGTCATTTAAAACATCGATTTTCTCACGTGTTGGCTGTTCATTCGAAATTTTGATGTTATCAGTTTGTGGAGTTTCATCGGTGTGAATCTTCTGATAGAACAACATGTACGCATTCGCATTAGTTTTGCCGCCATACCAATTCTCATTGTCAGATTCTGAGACTGTTCTATCATTGAAACAAAGCCATTTCCCATCGACCAGACAGTTACTAAAATAATGCCCGCCATGTGCTCCACCACTATGAATAACAACACCAACCAACTTATATTTGTAACTTTGTGATTTCACATTTGTATGAATTTCGTCTTTTTTGGAGTCTTCTTTTTCGTGTTGTATCTCGACACCCTGACAGTCACAATTTGTTCTGTTAATTTCACAATCATCGCCCTCCCCTTCTCGTGTTTTTGAATCTCCGCATTTCTTTTCTTCTTCACATGGTGGTGTACAGTATTCGCTCAAATCGACCACCTCAGGGTATTCAAAGTACCCGTTGTATTTGACAATCTCGAAGACGTCGTTGTACACAAATCTCTTCAAATGGAAGACCAACATCTCCGGCAGCTCCTCAAACATTTCGCTTCGTGTCGCGTCGGAGACTACCCCGCACTCTTCGCATCGGTAGTCGCACAACGTGCTTCCCTCCACCAAATTCTGCAGCGAAAGTGCCACTTTAGAAAACCTCTCGACCTCAAGTGGACAACAGCAGAATGGCTCAACGCGTTTAATACAGTGCCCACAGCGACTTTTTATAATTATTTGCATCTTCCCTTTAAAAAGGTCGGCGGCAGCCAAGACGTTGTGATACAACTTGCAGCTCTCCATTGCAGATATCGTCGTGTTAAAAAACTCCTGCGCATCCATCTGCAGATGACACTGAATCACTTCATAACAACTCCCATGAGCTTGTCGACAAAATTCAGTCGTATTCGAACAGGTACAGACGCCAAGGGCCATATCACTGAATAAACGCTGAAGGGAATAAATCATAGAATAGTCTAAATAATCATTTTTAGTGGATACAACGTCGCGAGTAACTGTTTCAGTTTGGTTCTTTTCTTTTGAGTCTTTTAATTCTTTTAATTGTTTGAAATTTTTTAATTCTTTTGAGTCTTTTGAATTTTTAAAAATTTTTGAATCGTTGAAATTTTGTAAATTTTTTGAATCTTCCAAATTTTTTAATTCTTTTGAGTCTTCTGATTGTTTTAAATTTTTTGACTTTTTTAATTCTTCCAATTCTTTTGAATTTTTTAATTCTTCTGAATTTTCTGAGTCTTTTGAGTGTTTTATATTTTTAAATTCTTCCAATTCTTCTGAATTTTTAAAATTTTTTAAATCTTGACTTTTTGGTATTTCAACTGTTTCTGTTTTTGCTGGTGTAACACTTTCGCTCTCTTGTGAGTGTTTTTTATTCTCAATTTTTAAAGTTTCATCTGCTTTTAAAGCGCGCGGAGATAATTTTGTGATGTCAAATACTTTTGTTGCGGTGAACTTTTTTGTGAGTTCGGAAATTTGTTTTTCGTCGAGGGGTTTTATTTGCGTGTCATTTTGAAGTGTTTTGTTACTTTCATTTTCTTTCAATATTTCAACTGTTTTTGTAATTTCATTTTGTTGCGTTTCTGTTGATTTCGGTTTTTCTTCTTTTTCAATCACAGTTAAATTGATATTTGTTGTATTTATATCTTCTTTATTTGTTTGTATGTCTTGAAGTTGTTCCGTTAAAACATCTTTCCTTTCTTCTTTCAAGTCTTTTTCACTGTTAAAATTTTCTGTTTGGACATCTTCTTCCAGAGTTTTTGGCAGTTTAAGTTGTTCTTCTTTGCATTTCTCTTCTTGTGTGTCTGAACTATTCTTATTAACATTTTTATTATAAATATCTATACTTTGTTTTCCCATCAAATTGTTCTTTTCAGATTCAAAGACACTTTGGATTCTTTCGTCTTGTTGTTGTGTTTCTTTTTTCGATATCAACACTTCGTTTTGTTTCTCCTCGTTTTTAGGTGTTTGACTTTCTCTGTTTTTCACGTCTTGAGTTTCGCACTTTTTTTCTTCTTCGTTTTTGTTTATCTTTTTTTCCAAATTTTTTTCTGAATTTTTTTCTTCTTTAATTTTCACGTCTTCAAACACGGGCAACACAATTGCTTTTTCCATCAGTAATTGTGCGCAATTTGCCGCATGGAAAGTCTGTTGGAGGACCGAGTTCATATAACACGTGCATCCCTGATTGACCAACCCTCCATACTTTTGTTCTCTTAAAATGACTTTTTCCGAGCAGACGGCCATTTTCTCGAGTAGTTCATCGACGTGTTTTTCGACTATTTTTCTGAGAGACACATCCATCTCGTCCAAACACTCAGCCAGTAATTTGAGTAGTTCGTCTGCGT